CAAGTGTAGGTCCATCAATTGACACCCGGCCAAATTCAAGGGTCAAACTTTTCATGAATTTGTTAAACTTAAATTCAAATTTGTTTCCAAACAAAGAGAGACAAATATATCTTGATTCTGAGAAATTAGAGCAATCATGGAAAGTTTTCAAATTAAGTACCCCACTCTTTGGCATGGGTTACATAGATAGACAAAGAGAGATCAAAAGAATACTAAAGATTTGCCAAATCTCTAGACATTCAAGGCGAAGATTAACAAACATGTCACACAAGTGTCATTCTTCATCAAACACCTTCAACACTCAAAGTTTTTAAAAACTAAGAACAACAAGCACATCACACAAGTGTCGTTCTTATCAAAGACCTTCAACACTCAAAGTTTCTAAAGACAAAGAATAACAAGCACGTCACACAAGTGTCGTTCTTCATCAAAGACTTTCAACACTCAAAATTTCTAAGTACGAAGAATAACAAGCACGTTACACAAGGGTCATTCTTCATTGAAGACCCTCAACACTCAGAGTTTTACTCAGAATTTTTGAAGACGAAGAACAACAAGCATACCACACAAGTGTCGTTCTTTTTTAAAGACCATCAATCCACTTTTCTAGATCAAGCCCCATTGACCCTAGGCCATAAATCCAGTCAAGCCTTCTTCAACCTTGAAGATTTAAAGAAAAGTTCAACACAATTGGTTCAAAATCAAACTTTTGAAGCCCTTACCCTGAACACCAACGAGATTTAATCAAAGGAATTCTATGTTGTAATTATAAATTTGACTATAAAGGATTGTACTTATTTCCTGATTATAAATAAAATTGTTATTTTATGCTTATTTTTGTTCCTAGATTTTCGGACACAAAATTTTTGTATACAAATTTCTGGCACACCCAGTCGGACGTCTTTGCCTCTCTTCTTTAACTCCTTAATCACTTCATCAACATCTTTTCTCACTTGCATCAATGACCTCTAAGAACATCTATATTGCAAAGATCGATCAGCTCACCAAGATCTTTGTAGTTGAAATACGCACGCAAGGCATGTATTGAGGGCTCCTCTACATCCTTCAAGGGATTAAGCCTCGTACATTTGAAGAGCCATGACATGGAACTCATCATAGCAAGTCACGGTGTTGAAATTCCCTTACCATCTGAAGAAATTAGGCTAGAGAATGGTGAGTTTCAAGTACATGAATTCATGGAGTCTTTAACTGCAACAAGTGTTCTAGCAGTTAGTGGCCACTAGAAGGTGATAAGGAAGAAAAGAGGTCGCCATATGCTTAAGCAATGAAAGGAAAAAGAAATCATTTCCCTGAGGAAGATGTTTCCTACACACTTGAAGATCTTTTCGAAAAAGGATTGATCGAACTTCCCACACCCAAATTGCCCGAAGAAGTTGGTTGCAATAGAGAGTTTTTCACATAAAATCAATAGGACAAAATCAGGCCAAATTCCTCTATACGTCAAAATTCAAGAGAGAAAAAAAGAGTATTTATATTGGTTTGAGAGTCCTTATATAGGTTGAAAATTAGGTCAAAATCAATTAATAATGTTTCCCACAAGTTTGGTTAATTAAAATAGGAAATTGAAAAGTAACCAAAAACTGAAATCTCAGACATGTCAGGAGAAGTGCGACTAGTTTGATTGCTCCAGAAGTCAAAATTTGGGATTTTTGAATTGTGCAACGGGTCGGGAATAAAATGACCGGTCGGCTTGTCCTAGGTTCCAAAGAATACCCAACTAAGAAAGTTGGATGAGTCGCAAAATGTGCTCACAGGTCGAACTTTGCAAAATTTTAAATTTTTAGATCAAAAATCCTAATTTTGCAATCCCAACCAAATTTAAATATATGTGAATGTTGTTATCACTCAATATACCTTTTCTAATCTGTGTTGTCATTCAGTCGAAGTATGTCCACACTTAATTTCACTTGAAGTTTTTGCTGACTAAAAGTAAATCAAGAGTTATAATTCGGACTTGTTTTGAATACGAAATTAGTCAAATACAAAATCATGTATCTCACAGTTGTGCATTTTGTTTTTGTGTTAGCTTAATTGATTAAGAACTTAAATTATTGAAAATATTTTCACAACCATTTTCGTATATATAAGCATTATTCTAATTATAATACCAATAAGTAAAAAAATATATATAATACAAAAAAAAAAGAAAAAAAAAAAAAGAATTGTTTTGACGAGGGTACATGTAAAGGCAAATCATTTGTTTCCATCGTAGACTTCCTCTATCATACACGTGGATAAATGAAGTCAAACATCCCTTAATTCATTCGTTTTCTACATCATTCATTGACCCACGTCTTTGAAAGTTCTGATTCACTATCCTATTCAAAATGAATTATTATTGAGTATTTCAACACTAAATATCTAACTAGTTTTAATTTTATTAGCACAAGTTGACACTTCAAATTAAATTCTTTTAAGGAAAAAGCTTGCCCGTAGACAGACGACTTGGATGGCCCAATTAGTCCAAATAAAGCAACTGCAAAACTTGTATGCAATGTATAGTTCAATATGTAGCTGATTATGAAACCCTTGATTGATCCTTCTTCACCAATTAAGTCAACGTGTAATTAAGTAAAAACATTATTAATTACTCGGTGCAGTAATTAAGGACATTTTGAAGAACATGTGTTATTTGTTTAGATTAACTTCTTGTATTTATATTTGACTATTCACAATATCATTGTTGCGCCACATATAAAAAGAGAAATGTTAAGAGAAATCGTCTTAGCGACGAGAAAGTATAATATTCTGATAATTCCAATTCTTGAATGTGGTGGGTCTATCACCTCTATTTGGTGTATTTTATTAATTACCTTATCTCCTTCTTTTACGTAACAATAAAAACTTAATTTTTAGAGACAAGTTACTGTTTTAAATATCTTATATATCTCCTTTTCTCTTATTTGGATCATATAAACCCCACACAATTTTTAGCATGGCTGTTTTTGACTAAATTTGCTATTAACCTAAGTAATACTTTGTGTTCAGATTCAAATGAAACCTAATTTTCTGAATACTTCAAATCACAATTGAGCCTCCGTCAATATCAACAAAAACCATATAGAATAAGGTTGTATAACCACGTCTAACGTGTTTTAAGAATCATAACAAAGCAAATCAAAATGTGTCTTAGAATCATAACAAAGCAAATGAAGCGTGCCAAATTGAATCTTTCAATTTTTTTCTTTCTAAAAACAATTTTCTGTTTTACAAAAACACAAATTCAGAAAATTGTACAAAATCCTGCCTAGTTGATAGTTTTTTAGAACTATTTTTTTAAAACTCAACTAAAAAATATAGATAGTTTTTTTTTTTTTTTAATTAAGAAAACTGTATTTTATAGTTTTGTGCAAACAATTTTCTAAGTTGAAGATAATAGTGTTTTGAGTTTTAAATCAAACAGACCTAATTTAATCATTGAACTACATCAGACCTTAAATTAGCATGATCTAATTTAAAAGCATGAAGAATCAAAGCAACAACCTAGTTAGGTTTTCATTTTCAACTAGGGTTTGGCTGGTGTTCTTAATTGCTGACTTAATAATTGTTAGGTCGGTGAAGAAACTGTACTGTACTGCGGATAGCTAGTTCTTAGTTTGGTCACATATTTATATAGTTTTTAAGTGCTTTTATTAATATATATTGGAAGATATACAGGTTAACCACCTATTTCTCTTCCTCTCTTCCCGTCCTCTCACGGCTTATCCATTGACCATCCATTAAAAAATATAAAAAAATAAAATAAAACAGCCTATATGTTTTTTCAAGTAAGACAAAACCCATAAAACTCTTCAACTACGAAAGTAATACTAATGTAAACAAAAGGGTAAAGTGAGGGCCTTCAAATTTCCATTTTGTCCCCATGAATTAACAATATCTATATCAAAATTAAGTTTTACCATATAGGGGTGCTAAAAAGATATAGCTAGATATTCAACAGAGGAAAGAGAAAAAAAAAAAAAAAAGAACCACCACCTTCTGAAAAATCTTTATAGGGGGTAAGAGATGTTCTTTCCACAGCTCATTTATATTTATAAACCGTTTGCTCACATCTTTATGCAAAATTTTAAATTCATTTTAGAACTTGTCCACAGTCCCTACTATTTGGAGCAACTTAAATGAATCTTGTCCCATCATTATACTCTCATTGTACATTTAAATCACATGTTATATTAATATATATTTTTCATTATCTTTGTCTATGGTTCATTAATTTCCACTGCAAAATGCCAAAAACTCATCATTTCTCCACGAAAAATAAGCAGAAAATTATCTCGTCTCTCTTCCCCATTTTGAGCTCAATAGTATAATCTTTTTTACTTTATTAAGTTTATTTGTACATTTTATTTTAGGATAAATTACATTGCGGCCTTTTTTAAAATTTAAACAAATTATTGGTAAAACATTTGATCTTTATTACTTTAACTTTTCTTGAAATTTAGTGTGTGTGATCAACGACAAATCCTTCTCCTAATGAAAATTCAAAATATGATCGACTTAGTTGCCCTTTTTGTGTGTTAAAAATATTTTAATGACTATATTTTAACATAAAATGACAATAATACCATGAAATTAATACGAAGTATCAATTTTTATATTAATTTCATATTATAAAATTTTATAATTATGAAATTATTATTAAATTAGATAAGGATATGAAAGATATTTTTTATTTTTTAGGGAATGTCAAAGAAAAATCAGTGTATCTTTTAAATCCACCAGTACCATATGCAAATCTCGTAGTCTAAATAAGCCAACTTTTCTTCAGAGAAAATATGGGCAACAACATTAAAAAAGAAAATGCATGCATATATGAATATTATATTATAATTAAAGATTAAGAATAAAAAACATACTAATTCTTTTTTGGCTGCACACAATACAATTAGTGATGATCAATATTGGAGAACATTCAACCAAATTTGATAAATGAATAACGAAATGGTCATCTGTTCTGATACTATATATATATATATATATTACTACAACAACACTACTTGGGACTTATATAATATATATGCACCACTAATTAGTAATTATACAAACAAGAGAAATACTAGAGATTTAAAACTAATATGATCAATCTCCTCATTTCTCTCTCGATCTCTTCCATTTGATACTTGATACATAATTCAAATATTTAACTTCTCGAAATACATTAATTAATCATTTCATCTCCAAGCTTCTATAATCCAAAACACCAGCCTTCAACCCTAAGAAGTCATAACCAGCTGTACCACTATTGCTGCTACTGCTAGTACCAATGTCACTACAACTGCACTCCTTACTCTTCTGTATTCCCAAGCTGCATGAAAAGCAAAGGCTAGTCCTCATTCCTGTCTTCAATGGCTGATCAGATTGGTATTGTTGGTACATGGGTGGGCTAATTCTGAGCTCAAGGTTCAAGTCAGGACACCGTTCTCGAACCGGGCTCTTCTCTTCTTTGCTGATCATGAATCCACCAGTACTGACCTTCTCTTCTTCTTTAACAGCAAAAGATATGGTGGTTGTGACATCCCGTGCCGCCGGTTCGTTGATTGGCCGGTGAGTCGTGGGATCGATGCCACGGTTCATAAGCTTCCTCCTGATGTGGGTGTTCCAGTAATTTTTTATCTCATTATCTGTTCTTCCTGGTAATCTTCCAGCTATAAGAGACCATCTATAACAAATCAACAAGAAAAACCCATTGAGTGGTTGAAGATCCGGTTAATAAAAATTAAACCGATCAAAAATTTATTTGGTTGACAGTTTTTGAAAACGTTAATCTTAAAATTAATTCCGTTAACAAGTCTAATTTCTGAGAATAATTTTAAGTACTTTTCGATTTTCGAAATTCTTGAAAATTGTTTTCAAATAATTATACTTACTTGTTACCAAGAAGGCTATGTAGTTTGATGATGAGCTCATCTTCTTCTTCAGTAAAGTTGCCCCGTTTGAGGTCAGGCCTCAAGTAATTGATCCACCGGAGGCGGCAGCTCTTGCCACACCGGAGAAGGCCGGCAGCCTTGGGAAGTGACCGCCAGCAGCCCTCTCCATGGGCTCGGATATAAGCGATAAGCCGGTCATCTTCTTCTTTAGTCCATGCTCCTTTGTTTGTATGAGCTTTTTCACAGCAAGGAGACCTTCCCATTTAGTAACTAGAACCACAAGTGAAACTACTAGCTAGCTATAACACCTCTCTTCTTTCTCTTTAATTTTTTTTTTTTTTTTTTTTTTTTTTTTGTTTGTCCTGAATTATCTTCTGGTTGCAGTGGTGAGGGTGGTTATGTAGACCTAGTTTTGGTGGTGCTTGAGCATCAAAGCCGGCCCTTATGAGGACTTGAAGATGGATTTTATAGGCTTTTGACTTGTGTGTGTGTGTGTGTGTGTGTGTGTGTGTGTGAGAGAGAGAGAGAAAGAGAGAGAGAGAGAGTCAGTGATCCTAATTGCTTCTAGATGTGAGTTGGTGAGAAAGGTTTGAGGGGAGTGGCTGGTGGCCTCTCTTTTGATGATGTATATTAGGATCATATATCATATATCATATATATATATAAAATAAGTTAAAAGGACATTAAATTATGGGTAACCTTCAGGTTGGTGTAAAGTAATGTGTTAAAGTATAGCTAGACAATGTCTCTGATCTCTCCCTTTCTTTTGTCTAATTAAATTCTTAAAAGATTTAGATTAATAATTAATTTAGTTACAACCTCAAAGTTATGCTTCTCTAAGTACTCAAGACATGTACAAGAGAAAAAATATATGAACCACTTTGATTATATAATTTTTGTTGTTGGAACTAACAAGCATTATGTTGGGTTTTTGGTAAGGTCTTCCTTAATATCTTCATAGTGAGTAGTTGGGCTTTGTAATTGTTTATTAATACGAAAATATTCATATATATATATATATATATATATATATATATATATATATATATATATCTAATGTTGTCTTTACATTGTTCATTGTTTATTAATTGGATTATCTTACCTAGCTATTAGTATTTTATTTTTATTTTTTTATTCTTGGTAATTAAAATATATTAAAGGCGCCGGGAAAAACTAGCTAGTAATATAGTATATTAACAAAAACATTAAACAAATTTCATTGGATTGATTTTTATTTTTATTTATATTTATTATTATTTTTTTTTGTATATGATGAAATTTTAGTATTCAAATTTTAATGACACATTTAAGAGAAAAAAAAATGCAATTCTCTGCTTGCATAAACCAAATTATGGTTTAATTAGAGAGTATAAAATATGTTGGGCTTCTGTATTCCTTTTTCTTCTTCAATATATTTTCAATTGCCAAAAAAAAAAAAAAAAAAAATTCTAAAGGTTATGGTGTAATTAGAGAATATAAAATCTTATAATTTAAAAAAGTTAGCTGTAGTGGGCAATTGAGGAAGTATAGTACTCTTAAGTGGGTTTTGCTATTTTTGTACATGAGTGTGGAGATGGTAGTTGTGGTTCTTTATTCTATTGGTGCTCTATCATGCAAGAGAGAGAGAGAGAGAGAGTGTGTGTGTGTGTGTCAATGTGTCTGTTGGGGTTTCTAGAAGACTGGGAGGTTGGTTCATGCCAGGATGATAAAAGAAAAGAATAGGTAAAAAAATGAGTGTGGTTGTGGATGTGCGTATGTGGGCTTTGGTTCACCTTCCACCTCTCTCTCTCTCTCTCTTTCTCTTTCTTTCTCTCTCTCTCTCTAACCTTGTGGTGCAAGTTTAGGCAATCTTACCTTCCAAAAAAAAAAGTTTAGACAATCTGCAGGAATGGGAAGGTTGATTCACCTTTTTGTTGCTATATTCTCCCAAATTTGCATTTTATTTGTTACCCACCACACCACCACAGATTCTCTCTCTATATAAATATTATGTAGACATATATATGACAACAACTTGTACCCTTGAATTATGATTTATGTATGTATGCGTATATATATATTATTGTATTTTGTTACCCACCACCACAAAGGATCTCTCTCTCTCCTCTGAAAACAACCCATGAATTATGTCCTTTACTCTTACCATCAACTTGGTTTTGATGATTTGAGAGAGAGAGAGAGAGAGAGAGATGGGGTCCACTAGTGTAACTTCATGTATCTATTTTACCTACCTCTTTCCCTTTTCTGACTGTCATGGTCCATAATTGGCTCCACCATTGATGTTGAACTGTGGCACGATTTATGACTTTATTCCCACACCCACACGAATTGGGTACTTCCATCATCTTTCATTTAGAAACATAAAACCTACCTAAACTTATCCCTTGTTTTGCTTTCAAAAATAGAACCCACAACAAACTCATTTCAAGCTTTTGTCATGCTCAACCATAAAAAAAAAAAAAATAAATAAAAAGTAATAATTAAAAAAAAAAAAAAAAAAAAAAACAAGAAACCAAACCTACATTTTCAGTTTGACATTTAGTTAGAACAAACGACCCATAACGCCTCCTAACTTTATGCATTAATCATATTGTGCATCCAATTAATTGCTCTATTGTGTTGATCCAAAGCACTTATGGTACCAACTAGTTTGATTGGGTTAAGTATGGTGGTTGGTACTTGGTATTCACATTGCTATATGTCAGACCAGTTTTTTACTTAATTACAAATACCTAGAGCTTCAAATGAATGGAATTAGGACAAGTTTGAGACTATTTGTTCAATTTTTGGACTCACCTTAGACTCGTGACAAGTTCGAAAAAATGAGCTTGACTCAGGTGTAATTATTAATTGTCGGGGATAAAATGTGAACAAACAATTAAGAAAAAAAACAATCACACACAATCAATATAAGGATTTACGTAATTTGGCAAAATCGCTTTGTCTACCTCCACGAAACACACTGAAAAAATTCACTTTTAACATTAATGATGAGTGTTTACAAAAAGAGCTCTCTGAGATCTACTTTTTCTCTCTACAACTATCTCCCACTCTAACATTAATTGCACATTCTCCTAACTAAGGTATGTAAAACATTCAGTATTTATTTGGAATCAATCTTTCAGTCTACAAATTTCGAAGGAAAGAGAACTCAGTTTAGGAAACCAAATCCTGCATGCTGAGGTTGCAGTTTCCTCATATTCGATCGATTGACATAACCCATATATCAATCATTACAAACTCTACTTCTTGGGCTCAAACTCTAAATAACTTCGATCGATCGAAGTATTCCTATGCTTCGGTTGATGTCACCACAAGCTCAGGGGAAAAATAATCCTTAGGGCAATACCTCATGGACCTCCAAATTGTGGTTCATGAAGTGGCAACATAAATTGGACAAGTGATTCAGGCTTCATAACCTCAACAATCTCCCACTTGGAGGCTGGAGCACGAATAAACCATCTCCATTATAACGATGTGCTCATCTCTATCTTCAAGCTAGAAGACTAATTGAAGCTGCCACAACTTCATTTTTTTTATAGTCACTGTCTTGGTTAACATGTTGATTGGATTCTCACTGCTAAGTATCTTCTTAAGTGTTAACACCCCATCTTCTAAGAGTAATCTGACGAAATGATAACAAAGTACTATGTGTTTGGTCCTCAAGTGAAATGGTAAATCTTTTTTAGATGTGTAGCACCTTGACTGTCACTATGCAAAATATTCTTCTCCTATCTGAATCCCAACTTTGCCAAAAAAATTTTGTAACCAAATCTTCTCCTTGTTGGCCTCTTCTACAACCACGTATTATGCCTTTATAGTAGATAATGCTACAATCCTCTATAATTGTGAAACAACTAACTACAGTCATACCCAATGTGAAGACATAACTGGTAATGTTCCTTCTATGATCTACCTCACTAGCAAAGTTTGTATCTACATATCTCTAAATCTACATAAGCATCTGTCAGTAGTACCATGTAAATAACTTAGTATCCACTTCAGTGCCTCCCAATCTACTTTCTAGGACTTGTCACGAACCTGCTTACGGCTCCCACTTCATAGGCAATTATCTGGTCTTGTGTACACTATGGCACATTAAACTTCCAATGATTGAAGCATATAGGACTTTAGCTAAATGTTTCTCTCATCATTTGGCTATGGACATTGATCCTTGGATAACCAAAATTGTTTAGCTAAGGGTGTGCTTACAACCATGGCATTGCTCATTTTGAACCTTTATAGTACACATTCAATGTAGTCAGTTTAAGACAACAGCAAAGTATATCTCTACTTTTCTCTACTAATTTTCATCCCAAGAATCTATTTTGATACACCAAGATCCTTCATAACAAACTCATTAAATATTTGTCTTCTAAATTTGTTGATTTCATCTATATAATAACCCGCCACTAAAATGTTATCAACATAAAGTAGTAAAATGATGTAACTGAACTCAAACCTTCTAATATAATAACAATCGTCAATGTTGCACTTATAGTCGCTATGTTTTTTCATAAACCTATTAAACTTCTTGTACCACTACCTTGGGGCCTGCTTCAAATCATACAAGTTTTTCGTTAACTTGCACACAAGTTGATTTTCCCTTTTAATGAGAAACCCTCCGGTTGTTTCATGTATATTATTTTCTCTAGGTCATTATAGAGGAAGGCAGTTTTTGCGTCTAACTGCTCAAGGTGTAAATCATATATTACAACAATGCTCAAAACTGATCGGATGGTAGTCAGTTTCACAACCAGTGAAAAGATGCCTGTGTAGTTAATTCCTTCTTTTTGTTGAAAGCCTTTAACTACTCACCTCGCCTTATATCTTTTGGAACCATCATGTTCCTCTTTAAGCCTGTACACCCATTTATTGTGAAGTGTTTTCTTCCCTATGGTAACTCAACTAGCTCCCATGTCTTGTTGGAGATAAGGGACCTCATCTCATCTCTCATTACAAGATCCCACTTTCTAACATCTTCTACCTAACATGCCTCATCATAGAATTTAGGTTCACCACCATCTATAAACAACAAATAATACACATACCTAATATTTGGTGCATGCATAAGGATGGGAAGACCTCCTAGGTGCAGGAGTATAAGTTGGACTATTTGGTCCTCTCTATTGTATAGGTTCCTCTAACTGAGAGCTCTCAAATGTCTAATGTGCCACATTACTCTTTGGGTTATCATCCAACTCAACATATTCTGGATCATTCTATACTATATTATTGGATGGTGTTGCATCTCTGTCCTTTTCTATCACCCTTTCATTGAATATCATATATCTGCTTCTAATGAATTTATTGTTCTGGTCTTTCTAAAGCAGATTACCAAACTCATCTCGACCATATCTAATGAAGGTGCATTTTAGTGATTTAAGGTCAAGCTTACCCCTAGCATGGCCACTAATATATGCATATGTATTACAACCAAACACTCTCAAATAAGAAAGGTTCACCTCTTTACTATTCCATACCTCTTTTTATATCATGTGCTTTAAAGGTACCGAAGGTCCTCAGTTAATTAGGTGAGCCGCCATACAAACTACTTATGCCCAGAACTGTTTAGGTAAGCTTGCCTATATAT